TATATATATATATTAAGAGCCCCAGAGTGAAAAGGACAGAAAAAGAGTGGGTACAGGAGGGGACCTAGTGCTGGCCTGTGTCAATCATTCTGAGGTGCCTACACCTCCAACCGCAGACAAACTTGAAAGAAACTGACAGCACGAACGCCACTGATATCGATTAGCCGCCGTTACTTGCAATGTCTTTAGCCAAGCACAGGCGGGATCATGGGGACCCCACCTGGAAGACGTACAACACCAACAACACCTAAACTCTTCGTGATCTCTTTCAAACCTTTCTTCCAAGTCATCTGCTGTCCACCTCGCGGTTTGCGCTATCCTGAAGGAGGCACGGAGGACAACACTCGTCTCGGTAGACGGTGTTTCGGCATGCGTAGCACATGACCGAGCCATCGTAGTCGATGACGCTGGATGTTTTCCCGGATTGAGGTGCCTGCAGCACAACCCATTACCCGTTATCTAATCACCTCGTTACTGGTTCGCTGACGCCATCGACAACCAGCCACGCTTCTGAGGTATCGGTGGTCGAAAGCCTGAAGACGCCTCACACTTTACCACGCCTCCACTTTACCAAGCATACAGTCCATGATTGTGATCGGTTCATTCAATATGAATAACATGTTCTCCGGGTGAATTACCGGCATCGCCGAATTCAGGTCACCTCAATAAGAGTGACCTGAATAGTGGTAGGCACAATATAAATTGGAACCGGGGGCTTCTAAGTCCAAAAATATTCACGCAATAAATGAGTTATTATATGAGGGGGAACTTTTGCGTTTTATCTGCGGATTATGCGGTGCAAATGAGAGAAATTTTGTGCTAAAATGCAGAGAACACTAAATGTTGATGTAAGGCCCCTATTCGTCAGTCCAAGACCGGTTTTGCCCTTCTTGGAGCTCAACAGGTAGGCGTTTTATCCGGCTTTTCGTCAACCATATGTTCTACTTGAACCCAACTCGCAAGAACTAACGAAATACGCCCAGTTGGATGATGTTTTTAAAAACATCATAAACCAGACTCTCAACTTGGTTTCAGGTTAATCTCCTGTCAAAGCCAAATTTGTATGCAAATGAGGGTACTTCGGAAATACCTGTTGATATTCATCAATATTGAAAATTTCACGAATTCAGAGGGCGATTGAAACTCACTGCCTTCGGAATCCTCCCACTGTCAGGCTTGAAACTGAAAACAGTGTTTTATGCACCACACTTCAAAGAGTTGTTTTATTTATCTTCTATTTAATAGCCCCTCCTGAAGGAAGCGAAAATTAGGCGCAGTGCGGGTGTAATTCCAACTATGCGGTCTGTCTTTGTCTGTAGTGCGTTCATCACAGCTTGTTCCATGTTGATCACCATTATCATTCACATCTTCATCACCATCACAGATAACTGCTCCCACACTGCCGCACAACCACTAAGTTTATTTAATTATAATTTAGCTCTGAGGTGAAGAATCAGGAAAGAAGGTTAGAGGGGGTACCTGGTGCTAGCCTACCGAAAGTATTCTGAGGTACCTACATTCTAAACGCTTGGTCAGACAACCTGGAAATAAACTTACAGCAAGAACGCCACCGCCATTTCTTGCACAAGAAGGGCCACAGGAATACAGGCTGCATCGGCAACACCCAACAGCTCTTCGTAGACTTTTTCAGATGCTTGCGCCAAGTTACACGTCCACCTCACAGTTTACATTCTGAAGGAGCAACGATAAACAATGGTTGCTTGAAGATTCTCCAGGAGATTCTCCTTATTTATCCCATCGCCTCCTCCCTTCGATTAAGAGGATCAACAAGAAAGGAGAGAGTAAATATCCGTACCGGATACCACTTTTTGTATGAAAACCTATAGAGAGATCGAGGAGCCAGTCAACACATGCGTTCACGTGATGTGGACCTCGTGACTGAAAGATAACCAGCGGGATATTCTGTCCAAGTGAGAGTTAACCATACTGCTGACCAGCTTTTCAAGGCCAAGCGGTTATGTTCAAACTACTGGCCAGAAGGTTGCGGGTTTAAGACTCCATGGAGCTTGAGATGCGCAACTCTGAGGATTTCCGACTTCTCAGCATAAACTACCTTCACTTACAGGACGAAATCTCTACAGGTATCCTCAAATATCCTCATGCCACCTACAATCACCATACATTCTCACATGCCCCGAAGTATGCGAATCAGTGTCTTGGCTAAGTTAGCAAATATCCAAGGCATCACCTGTTTGGAGCGTCTCTAGAAGTCACGACCGACTGCCAGAATCGAACTCGTCCTTGATGACAAAGAACACCAAGGTTTTGCATCGTCTTTACAAATAGCGTTGCACTTACACCTGTGATATGTGGAGATTTGGTCAAAATTCCACTTGACGTTCATGGGTACCATCGTCAGACGTCTAGGAAACAGTGGCTCCACAAGCTGCATTAAGACGGAAGTCGTGGTTTCCATATTCAGTTTTCGAAGGCGGGCATCATTACTGGATCATCTAGGTTGTCTGGAGTGGTCTACACGCCTCAGATGAGTGCAGATTTCTCAGACAGCTATTTGTTGAGAAATTCCCCACCATGCTCAAACGTAGCGGGTCACATTTCATCAGAACCAGAAGCACAATAATCCTTGCATTGAGATATACAGTAAAAAAATTTCTGAAGGGGTTTCACAAGAGACTTCACATTCACAGTACACGTTTCCGTCGAAAGTTGGACATTGTAGATTAGAAGCAACAGGTAGCCAACGGAGTCGTTGAGCGAAGTGTTCGACCCGAGGGTCCAAACATTCTTTGCTGGAAAATCACTGTGATTCGTGAATTCCCACAGACAACAGGTTCCAGAGGATCAGTCGAGCGAATCAAGTGGAACAATTTGCGGACCCTTCCTTTACTTTTTGCACCTTCCGTTCCTTCGACATTACAGGTTCACTCAACTTTCCGCTCAGTCTCACCGGGCACCGGATGATTCATAGATTTGTTTTTCGCCTGTGACCAGGGCCTCTAGCAAACTAGTGGTCTTATCAGATACCCAGCGCCTGAAAGAGTCCGTTGGGTTGTACCGCAGGTCAAAGTTTCAGCAGATTCGCGCTATGGATATTTGTCTGCAATGATCTTTGACATATGAAATTAAAGCGGCCTGTAGGTGTTGGAGGAGGAGGTTCTGATAAGTTTGACACCTCGAGTACTAAGCATGACCTTAAAAGTATGGCGGAAGTCAGAAAAGAAAATTTGTATGATTGGAGTCTACGTATGTATTCCAGAAGAAGCATCAGACGGTGAACAACCCTCGCCACACCGATTCAGTATGATTTGGTTGGGTTTGGGGCGGTTGTTAGCGGACACCACGTAGTCAAACAATTTCAGATATCCGGAAAATCAGCCCTGTAAGGAAAAAGCCTATAATCAGCATATATGTGCAACAGGTTCTCTCCGTCGTCCGTGCGCCTCATGTTCTACCCATATAGTCCTACCTACCACAGCCTTCACGCCACCAACGTCACAACGAAAACTACCTCACTTCAGTTGTCTTTTTCTTCTGATGGACTTCAGGATGGTTGTTTAAAAACGCGCAATCCATCGATTAATCTGGTTTGATTACGTTTTTGTACTAGCAGTGTTTTTTTCTTTGTTTTTAGATGAAACATAAACTTTAGTTGTATCGCGAATTGCCGAATAATGGCAGTCACTAACTATAGACATCGGCACACTGTCCGAGAGATAAGCACATGCTTACTTGTTAAGTCATCTAATATGAGCATGTACAAGTTCACACACTTGACATAATTTACTTTTCACAACGTCATTCCTGAAAAGTAGTTCTCAAAATAAGTGTGTCTGAAGATCACAGAACCACTGTAGCCACAGAGTGATGGTTATTCTAGGCAGGAAGGTGATCGAGTTCGGTAAAGACCTCTTCCCGGCTGTTTTTGGAGTATCCGAGCTGCTTCTGCTGTTTAGAATAGTAACACTTGGCCTGCTCCAGTTCCAAAATTTTCGCCTTGCTGTGAAAATGTACACTTTTGAATGAACGGTAGAACTGTTGTCCTAAGTAGCGCATGCTTTAGGATTCCTTCAGTCTCTGCACCACTTCCTTTTGTAGTGTACCAATCCACTTGGTTTTCAAACCCTGATCAACCGGCTGACCTCGTGGTATTTTCGCCGGCCTGTCTTAACGAAATAGGTGGCAATAACGCCGAAAGTAATCGTTCGAATGCGTAGCTGCCAGCGTCACGTGGATTTGGGGGACAGTTAATGGATGCTTTTCATGCCGTTTCAGCTTCTCACTTATAATTACATGCCAAACTGAGACACGCTTGAGTCGCACAACACTGCCTGGTTTGCAATGGTTAGCTTATACTAGAATGCATCAAGTTCACTAGTGTGCGCTATTAGTAAATGATGTGCTCAAATGTGTGGAAAAAATCTGACGTCTGCCATTAGGTTAGCCAGTCCGTGTATGGATGTTGTCCCTAGTTGCTAGATTCCATTCACCTCAATGGAAGAGAATCAAGAAATGGCCTTCTTAAGAATAGTTTTCCACGGTGAGTTTATTTCATTAATGGTGGCCAACACCAACGGTTCTCGAGTGATGGGACAATATGAAAACTGGATACTTGCGTACATTTCTGCATTTACATCATGTAGACGAAAACTTTTTATTTTACTTTTTATTTATTTATTTATTTCATTTCTGTTTTCTCTGTAGTCTCAGAATCCAAACACGTATATGTTATTGTTCGACGGCACTACCTGTCTCACTGAAGCTCACCTGCTCAGCGAGAAGCATAAAGTGCACACTGGAAAGTCGGCGGGTGGTGAGATCAATATACTTACAAATGCTGCTTTCGTTATCAAATATGGAGAAATCAGCGCATGTAAGTAGAAAAATGTGTACCATTTACTGATGGATACTCAGTCCATTGAAATATAGATCTTTGCACCGCGTGTACCGTGATCTTTTCCAAGAAGACAGTGTGTTGATCATCTTTCCAAAAACCGAAATGGGTGGCACTAACTAGCAGGAATGGTAAAGGATCAACAGTCATTTTNCAACAGTCATTTTTACAATCACACTATCTGGCGGGGTCTTAGACGATTACATATAGATTCCACATGTAAATAAGCCCAATACAATGGCTACGGTACTCTGTGGGAGGTTTAAACAAATCGAACATACCACTGTTGGACAGTTGAAGTTGGTTAGTTTCTCTCAACTCAGAGAACACAAAATGAGTCCCAACGACAAGGTGGAAATCTCGTGACTATAGTTATGTCTGGAAATGAGAATAAGTGACTATTTGCTCCTCAGTGCCATACGTTCCCCTTCGCTTCTGTGATCATAATCTGTCCCCATAAAGACTACTGCTGGGATATGCCAGGCTGTTAGATTGTTGGTGAAAGCATTGGAGTTAAACCGAATGACGCGTTGGATACGCTAAATCCGTACATATCATTAAAAACGCAATAATAGCGCACCCGAGTCTTAAGTACAGAACAACGAAGTGATAAGATAGAAGTTATAAAATACAATCGATATTTTTTGCGGAACTCCGGAGGGCCCGAATACGGCTGTTGCAGATATCAGCCAAGCTGTGGTAAACTGCATGAATCTTGCGCACATTAGTCTACCAAACGATGATGCTTCTTTTAGACACTTCCTTTGGTTTCTGGTGCAGTTATAGCCTGTGTACTCCTAGAGCTATCCTGTCCTTAGTTATTGATAGATCCAATCAGTTCACTCTTGAATGCTGATGGATTTTCAATGGATTTTCATGCCTCCATCGATTCACATTACTCGTTCTTGCTTTGGCCAGAACGAGAACGTGTTCCAATCAGGTTCGTGCCGGTCCCCTTCAGAGACAAGTGAACAAACATCGTCTTTCAGCAACAAAAAGACAAGAATGGTGTGCAATGTGTGGTTGAGTGTACTTGGTCTCAATTTGTCTTTGCATAGAGGCGATTTTGTGGAACCTGAAGACTGTTGTTGTGATGAAAGAAAACCTCTCACGAGAAAATACGTAACACATTTTTTTCAATATTGCAAGCCACAACAGCTCATCGATGGTCCAGTTATCCTTCCTATTTGTATGACTGGTAGGACAGGTAGCTTTGATGGTCGTTGGTTTGTTCGCTGAACTGGATAATTTGATCGCAAACGCTACATCACCTATCGAGCTGACATCACCAGTGCGTTGTTAGAGATCGTATTGAAGCGTGCGTAGTGATGAAACGTTTGCAGTCGGATTCCACCGTTCAGTGAACAATCCAAATACAATCTACTCTACAATCTACTCTACTCTCCTCAGTAGTGTAGCCATATTTGTTTTTCATCCGAAAAGAAAAACATGTCATCACCAGATTTGTTTGAAGGACGATCATTTTTATTTTGAAACTGCTCAGACCCTCGTGCCGTAAACTCCGTTCAGACATTAAGTCAACTCCAACAGATCTTGCCAAAACGTTGCGCCAGCAACCACTAATCCAGAGAAAAGGGTAAAAAAAATTTATTTTTTGGGATGTAACCTTGCTCATTTGCAACTTGTAGATAACATACCGTGTATTACCTCTCGAATTACAGCCGAACCTACAACGAACCATTTTGAACAGGAAGTATGCACCAATTCAGATGAAGAGGATGAAGAAGCAGAAATCAACCAGGAATCAACCGGAGGGTCGCCACGTGTCAATGAGTTTTGCGTTCATTCGTATACGGCCCCTCGCGGCTTCAAAGCCGAACTTTCCTTTACGTCAATGAATGTAAGTGTCAAACGGACAGGTAATCTCCCATGTGATCAGAATCTAAACGATTTTATCACTACCTGAAGTGCCCTCCCTCATGAGGTCAACACACCCATTAAAAGCAACATTTATAAAGAAAGAGCCCATTTTTTTATCCATAAGTACGGACAAACACTGAGAAACTGCACTTCATCTTGATCCTGAGTTCATGGCAGGGAGTGGTAGAGGTTGTTCTGGTTACCGAAGTAGTCTTCGGGACCCATTTACTTCGGCGCTTTCTTCCTCCTTCTAATTTTGTTTCATCATTTAAGACAATTTTGATGCGATGTGCATAGGACAATGTGACCTGCAAAATTAATGCGAAACTGTACCGGGTCACTAGTGTTAATGATGAGCTTGTCCCGACTCCTCAATGTGGCTCACAAGTTCACTAGGAGATGTGTAGCCGAGCCATTTGCTTGACAGTTTAAAAACAGTTTAAAAACCACGAGATCAAGTAGTGATTGAATATTTGCAGCCGTGTTGAAGTATCTCACCAAAATCCTCCCCGTCCCTCCGAATTTTTTTGGCTTTAGAACAGAATATGGTCATTGGCAAGTGTTTTCGTGTAAGAATTCGTGGTGAGTAATTGTCAGCTACAGTTGCGGGAAATTTCACACTCCCAGACATGGCGTCACAAACTATAAGATACATTCTCTCCGGCATCAGCCAGTTCGAACTTGGTTGTTTTTCCGAGATCTGGATACTAATATGTCAAGCCATATGAAACATTGCAATCCAGTGTACCTTTCAATCATTTGGGAATACGTAATTTGTGGCCTTTAGTTGGACGGATCTTCATGGATTAGCGGACTGATATACAGGAACAAGGCTTTCCTCCAAGCCTCCTGGGTCGGGTTTGTTCTTGCTCTTCAGCGACTCCTGTTCACCTGAAAGGCACAGGGGAAAAGGGTGTAGCACTGCTCCTTAGGTTCTCAGCGTGGGGCAGTAATCTCGCCACCCCCCAGCTAAAAAGACATCCAAAAGTGCTTCAAACTGGGTACTAGATGCAGCCGCAACAACCGTCTGAGGAAGCTTATTCTACGAAGCTACTAACCGAAATGAGAAAAACTGTTCCCCCTGTCCCTGCAGTGTGTTAGTCGGGTCAACGGTGAAAGACCTGTTGGCCAAACCTTGTTAAAATAGGACATAAGTAAGAACTAGGTCTCCTTGGAGGCCACAATACTCAAGGGAAAAATAAGCCGAGCGCCGTGAGACGCGTTCCATAGTTAACGGATTTAGGGACGGCGACAATTTTTGTACCAACTCGTTAGATGATTCCTGAGTGGACAACTTGATTGGCGTAGTTAGGAAGCGGTCTGACGTAGGCCCCATAAAGTATTTGGAAGTTCAGCATGTGGAACATTCCACAGGTTACCATTTGCTTGAACCTTATGGTAAATTACATTTTCCAGCGAGATCCGAACGAGTTTGTAGAACCAAAACCGACTTGATTTTCACACAGCAGATCTGTTTTGGCATTTTCATGCCAGTCACTATGTACTTTTGGGTTCTTATGCTTTGGATACAAGATGGTGGATCCACAATCTTCTTTCAGTGATCACCCCATGGGGGGTCGTTCTTCAGTCCTCGTTTTCCTTGATGCAAACCAATACTGTAAAAACTGAGTGTTTATTCTAAACTCTGAACTGAATATCATAGACCAGGTTAAGTTTTACTGTCACTCAATTCACTGTTCAGTTATGCACCGCAAAATAGCCTAAACTTTGCTATTCGAAGACGATGTGGCATTATAACATGCAGCTGGCGCCTGTGTTCACAGAGCCTGATCTTCTGACTGACAGCACTAAACAGCGCTGTCAAAACTATAGCCAGCTGGTTTAACAAGAACGCTCACAACAATCTGGTCTGGAATGATTGATTTTGGCCGAGTTATGGGTTATCGTACGACAGTAGTTTTAATCTAAGCGTCGTCTGGTTTGGCGAGTTTGCAGCCATCTTTTACTGCTGAGGTTCGGTGAAGCATCCGTTCACATGCAGTTTCAAATAACCACAGAAACAGAACATCTCTCTTCATCTAATTACTGATGTCGGAAGACTTGTGTTCAGTTTCTGGTGAAGAGCTTAGTCAAACCCAGGCTCCAGTGTGGTGTGTGAACATTTCTTCTGGCTACATATTTCATCTAAGTTTTTCTTTATTATAGAAATGGGAGGGAAGTCTACGAATAGCTGCCTAAAGTGTCAGTAAAACTGTGGAACCAACCAGCGTTTCTCGGATGTAGATAGAGTGTGATATCACAGGCACGCTGAGGCCGAGCAAACCAATAGACGAAAGCTCTGTGCATTTGAAAGATTGTTTGATTCTCGTGCAGGAAAACGCGCATGTCCGTTGTGCTCGTGATTCGCACATGAGGTTGCTTGGCTGTCTGGCTATGTATTTGACTGGATATTTAGTACACCGAATTTAGTAGACGCAGTTCGTGCGGTGTCTCGGTTCGATATGGTCCCTGGGCCTTACAAGATGTCATTATAGGGTGTTAGCAATTCGGAGGAATGTTTTAGTATCATTATCCCGAAGTATCTTCCGAATGGCCACTGAAGTGCCATTTCTACAGGATATTTCCACGGTGACCACGAGGTTTTCGTCCCCCTATTTCACCGTTCCGGGTAATGTTTCCGCCATTTTTTGGGTAATGAGCCCCAATGGGTAACAATTTTGCTGTACTATCTCACTGAGTTTTTTTCAGTTCATTTGTTCGTATGAACTCACCCGAGCATACTTTCTTGACACGATTCACCAACGATCCGATAGCCGGGCGATTAACATAGCCTGGATGCCTAGACTCACAATGCAAGTACCCGGCTGAATATTTGGATTTGCTGTGAATTTCTGCTGGAAATCCATGACTGGTGTCAACAGATACCACGCAGTCCATAAAAATTATAGTTCTCTTTTTCCTCTCAGTTCAGATCGTGAATTTTAAACTACTGCATTGTTCTTCAATGCATTCTGAGAAGGTTTGCCGTTATGCGAATGATATTTGATTCTGGTGCAAGTTACTATCACTCTGCTTGACTAAGCTTGAGTTTTTCGCTGCTGTAGGTCCTCACAAACCCGGGGTTTGGTCTTGTTCAGAGTTTGATTTCATTTCTGTGGTTCGATTCCCTCGTAAGGACTCCGTATTAGATGTACGAGCAATTGGAGCAGTCTATTTATTTAAAACTAATCTTATTTGTGAAACTCTGCTTCTTTTCAGGTTTTTGAGGGATCGGGGGATCTACATAATTTTTTGGACATTACAGGAGGACCGTATTGTGGAGTAGAATCAATTGATCGGCTCGGTCAGTGGCCACACAAAAAAGTCGTCTCGCGTGGCCCGAAATTATGCGTGATTCTGGTGACCGACTGCTGCCATGGTGAACCCTGGAGTGTTACTGGTGTTTTCAAATCTAGTGAGTCATAAGGAAGCCGATGTAGTTCAGTTTATGTCTCAGCACTGTAACTCGTCCGTACCATGCACCCACACAATCAGACATCGGTTGCCGTCTAGTTCTCAGCACCCCCTTTGCTTTGGTTAAACTAAGCCGTCGTAATGCTAAACAATAGGACCTGGTCTGTGTTCGCCGACGATGGCTGGAACACCGGAGTTTCAGAACGCGGATGCTGATACGACTTTTTTCGGCTAAATAGAGAAAATCAGTGGTCCATTGAAGAACGCTGTGAACGCAGTGAACTTGAAGAATCTTCTGAATTAGATAAATGTTGCTGACTGTGTTTAACTCATGACTTATGACTAGCTAGTTAGCCGCGTATTGTGGTGGAAAAAACCCGAGATATCACTCCTGGCGAACTATGTTCATCTGACCACCAAGAATGGCGTAACCGGTGTTCAAAGAGTCTTCAACAAGCATCAAGAAAACTATTCTACTCCCGTCTGCAACTAACATATGATGAATGCCGGGATATTCCTAGTTTGTTTTTCCACTGATTAACTCTCCATGTTATTTCAATAAAGGAAAATGTCGACGTTCAGGTAGCGTAGCTGATCGTTGGCCTATTAGCTGAGCTGGGCAACGCACGACCACCACTCCATCGCTAGGCACTACTACGCTCCCCTAAAACGCACTGATGATGTCATCTCGAGTGATGATGAGACGTTTGCAATCAAATTTCCCAGTTCAGCGAACAAGTCAAAGACCCACTATTCATGCCCTCACTCGAATACTGCCTACCAAGTTAGTTCACACAGGTCTTTTTCTACCTGTCGGCACAGGTTGGATAGTGGTTTGATGACTAAAGGTGCGCGTGAAGGAAAAGCTTTGGGGATTTGAGTTGTCGTCCGGCACGATCTAGCTGCTCGGCGCATAAGCAAAGGCAGATGCACATATAATGATACACAGGCGATCGTCGACCCAGTACCGTGCACCCGCTAAATCAAACTATAATAACCCTCTCGAAATTGATATCCATCGAGAGTGATGTGAAGCCGAGTGTTAGCCTTCCGTCGCGGACGTGAATATTTATCAAATGAGATTCCCTCTTCACAAAAGGCTAATATATGCCAAAATAATGGGAGGGGGCAGTGGTACATCTATTATATCCTTTTGAGAATCAGCAGCGGCGCACATCCCAGCACAGATTGGCTTCACACTATCAACAATACACATTTATGTTTCTATTCCAAAAGTCACTATCTCAAACTAATTTCAAAGGTGTGTAACTTATCTAGCATTATCTAGGTATTTGGGATAGCAGGTATCACATTTGCACATGTGACAGGGAGACAGAGCAGAAAGATGTCCTTGGTTAATTGTTGTTCGAATATGTACAAAATGTCCTCACGTGTTCCATTTCCCCTAACAATTCATTTACTGCATCTCTCTGTAAAAGTTTTAGAAATCAAGCGAACAAATAAAAAAAGCAACCATTTTGATTATTACTACATAATTTATTGGGAAGGCATTGTCCAGAATTCTGCCACCGTTATACAGTTGATTAATACTAAAAGAAAGTAAAGTGGCGTCATTTTCATGCGATGGTTTTGTCCTGAGAAGACGGTAACAGTAGGGTCTGTTTGTGCGTGGTTCGTTTCTCACAGACAGTTTATCCAGCGCCACTGAATCGATGTTGGGTGGCTTAAGATACCGTCAGAAATTCCGAGCTGTTTTGCACCAAAATATTTTCGTCACTTATTCTAAGCGCTATTTGTTAAGTACAACAGTTCTTATAATCAACTCCTTGCGATCACTTGGCAGGCAAATACTCGGAATGGAAAACAAAACCCACCAAAACAGACAGTGATTTAATCTGTGCGGTCCAAATTCCAGTCGATCAGCCCTGCTTGAGGCTGTATGGCATCGGATTTCACACCCAGGATTGGTTTATTCACCGGTCTTCCACGGACATGCTGCGGTTAGCTAACATCCTCTGTGTCACAAAGACTTCGGCGGTCGAGTGAACTTAAGGTAGAATACAGTGACAGTCTTTCACGTCAAGGCAGAATTCAAAATTTTTTACAACCGAGCAGCCAAAAATTAACTGGAGTCAAAATCCTTTATAATCAGACAAAGCTTATAGGGCATAGGGTGAATGTGAACACGTAATCTTTTTAGAGGAACTTCAACTATTTCCTAAGATATCTGACACATTTTTCAACAGTGGACATCGGTTCTTGTTTGCTAGATCGTCTATGCCGAGATTAAGTTAGATGGGAACGTAGATTCTGCTGAGAATAAGGTCAAATCGAGCGAGAAATTTCAAGTGGATGTAAAAACATTCGTCCACAATATCCAGTCTTTGGATTACCTCAGTTAAGTTCCTTGCTAGTCTGAGTAAGAGAAGAACACAGATGCATCAGAGACCACTGACGATCGGTCTTGAAATCATGGGGTCTTGTGGCCCTGAGATTGTTTACTACCACACCTTTTGGCTGTGGCCAAACCGTTCGGGCTGAACGAAGATTAAATGATTGCACGCGAAAGGCGGTATGATTCCGATTTTGTGCACCTTTTCAACTTTCATTGGGTTAAGGAATCTTCAAACGGAATTTCTTTGACAATTTGCTTGTCTTTAACTAAAGAATTGTCTGCTTGTAGAACGGAATTACGGAAGTTCTAAATTTCATCATTTAAATACAGAACCACGGTAAAACCTCAACGATGATAGAATTAGCCGAAAATGAGATAAGATTCATAACCTTCTCTGGCTTATCTCTGAACACAATTCTGTGCCGTACAAGGAAAGCTACAAAATGCATCATTCCGAAAAAAGTGTTACATTATTCCCCTTTAGAGTCTATATATTCTACTTTCATATAGAGAAGCATTGTTGTGTAAAATGATGATGCATTACTCAACCGTTATTTTTATCCTGTCCGTTTTGTTAGCTTCCCCATACAGTAAGTCCACCATTAAACACCGTAGCACAATTTATCACGACTACTAGATGCCCCAGTAATCACGTTTTGTGTTTAGCAAACGAATCCATTTGGGAGCGTCAGAGATCCAAACTTTTGGCGCAGTACTGATCCACTCCACTATCGTCCAGCACAATCGTCAGGGGTTTGCGTATGCGCATCACATATTAGGCCAGTACGAGGTCAGTCGCCGTCATTTCGTCGTTCCTTACAAAGTGAACTATCACCGCCTCGTATTCAAATGACTAAACACATAATACTGTCACCAAATTGACTCATCCCAGTTTATAATATAGTACAAGCTGTACCTCATTTTGGAGAAAGAACTGTTTGTTCCTTCCCGAATATCGGCTACGTGAAGCTCCCCAACAATATGTGTCACGTTTTGAAGGTATTGCTCCATGATACCTCCCTACTAGAATGTTTTTATGAAAAAGGTATCAGTAATGAGATATGCTACAATGAATCGGATGAAAGTAGTCTGAACTGAGTACCGGTTTTTATCGTGAATCCAGTGTTTTGGTACGAGATTACAATGGATACCGGGCGATTTTTGATGCTATCAACGATTTTGGTGCAAGACACCTGTTCTGTTGCGTGTAGTCTGTACAACTCAAGTGGCGTTTCATCATCGTAAGGAATTGTAACTGTGAAGTATTCGAAGCGGATGAAACTGAGGAGTGCCAAAATGATGGTGAAACCAAGAACAAAAGTTGCATAATACTCGTGGGCATACAAGCGACTTGTTTCGTCGATTCATGTTAACTTCGGTTGTAGGGGCGAGTTGAACAGGCCTTCTGACTTCTGATCTCATAATTTTCACCCTACAATGCGAGTGAAATCACCAAATTGAGACAGGACTGGGCAAATATCATGAGAACTAAATTGGCGAACAGAGCCCAATTTTCTCATTCGCTATCTTGGTTAGAGCATGACGGCTTTTCATGATACTAGTTTACACTCATGAAGAAGGTTATAGATGAGTAAGTAAAAAAGTGCGAAGGAGCGAAAAGAGCATAGGTATCATTGAAGAAGGCTGATTATCTCGTGCTCACAAGCTTCCCTTGAACAAGGCCTATTGTTCTTCTGCGCCCTATTTCAAGTTCGAGGTATTCAATGTGACCTAGAGACTCAATTATCCTTATACTGCTCTCTGAACCCTTACCAACGTTCCCCATGAATGTACGCGTTCCTGCAAGTGCGTCTAGGTTACTATTCTAATTTAAACGGATTAACACATAGAATGAGTTTCGTTCACCATTTTTGTTCTCATGGCCAGAACATGGAATACGTGAAAACACTGGAATTGTCCGTGATCAGACCCCTAATGCACGAGCGCTACTTAAATCATCTAGGTTCATGCATAATACTACCTCATAAAAAGGAACATCCCTGTGCTGGGCCAAAATAAGACTGAACACGATCACATCGAGAGAAAACATTTGACCAATCGTAAGTGATCTAGCACCCCCATCCGTCACCATAATTGTTAATGCACGTCGAACTGTGATTGGAATGGGGAATATTAACCTGTGAAATCCCCGACATTCACAATACTCTGTTATATTGCACGGATATTTTTGAAAATTTCCTTCAGAGCCGAGTCCGAGTTCTAACGCTCGCTACTGCTGAGACTTTTTATTTATTTCGAGTAACTTGCCAAAGCCATCGTTTCGGATTCGCTAATGTAGACTTATGTACCACGGACAAGCATAGTCTCTTGAAATACAGGTCTATAGTAATTCGGCTATTGGTGTTTATTGTTACACTGTACGTTGAGATTTCAATACTATCCACAAGACCTCTTTTTCTCCATTTGATCGGTTTCATACAGCCAGTCCATATCGTAAGTGAATATGACATCAGTGATGAACGCACGTTTGAATTGTAAAAACGGATGGAGTGAGAATGAAAAGTATTGTCTAACAGCATTGTCAGCCATGCACTTGGTCGTCTTGTAACCCGCTGGATACGACAGAGCCCAAGTACACATGCCTAGATATGGACCACAGATTCATCAATGGTTGACTATGAGTAAAGAAACTATTGTTTTTCTCTATGTGCCATCTGGTTATCCTGGAGGAGGAACGTTTGTCCCTAAACTTTGATTACAAACTGTTGAAATGGACATTTTGTCTTCTCTGCCAGTGTGTCCTATCATTTAGTTTTAAACGTAAAAGACCAAAAAATGCTATATATATATAACAGCAAAGAGAAATTTCAAAGCGATGTTGTGCTTTTTCCCCAGTATTGTATTCTTGCTATGCAGAGTGCTACCAAGTCTTCCTCTAACGTAGCCGAAGTCACTGGTGGAGACAGACTTTTATTGTACATTTGCATCCGGCAGAAGTATTAAACTCTGTACGCCTAAGACTACCCCATCAAAGGCGTCTCAGTATGTTCCAAGGTAGCTGACCGGCCAGTCTCAACAAGTCAGCTGTTTTCGAGAGCCCTATCCAAATAGAACTGCTTAGGAAGGTTTTATATATGTACATATATATATTGTACAGATTGTGTATCGATTATGTATAGAACCCACACTGTTTCAAAAGCCGGTTATCAGTTTTCCTCAACTGGATGTTCTCTGTGACAAACCCTTGGTATTCATAAGCCTTGTTTCCTCTCTTAGTCAATTTCAATGTACTGGCTGCCTTTTTCATCACATGAGGTGATTTCGGATGTAAACTAATTTAGGGCTTTAATCAAACGAATAAGTTCGTTTTTCAGCGGTCCAATTACCTACGTATTGCTATAATAGGGGATAGCAGTAGACCTTGTGCGCGTATGGAGCACAACTTTATGGTAAATGAGCGATAAACCAACGCAGAAGAATCACAAAACTCGGGAGCGGCCTGTACGATTATTGATAGACTATGTAGTCACACTGTCACCTGTGATGGGCTGTACTACGATTAACTAAAATGTACGATAGAAGTGAGGCGTGGTGTGTCGTGCAGAATTATAATTGCTTGAGATGTTGAAGACGTCTGATGTCTGACGTTGGGTGATGTAAAAATGTCGCGGTAAATGTGTAAACGAATGTTACTGAGATAAAAAGCCCGGGGAAAGCACTTAGGTAAAAGGCTTCCTATCACGTTTTACCGGAAATTTATGATGGAAGTGCAAAAATGCAAACACTAGAGGGAACAGAATCTTTGCGTTCTCACTGGTCTAGTTTGCATCTTTACAGCATATCAGCAGCGAATTCAGAGATTGAATCTTGGCGAGGCAAAATATGTGCACTTTTAATCAGTCATATTCAGAGCGAAAATCCGAATTCAGGACTTCTGTTTTATGTAAACGCACGAGAAAATGAACTTCAAGAAGGGAGAATGGGTTAAACAAGAGTAGTGTGAGTTGAAACTTTGCAAACCGACAGCCACTAACTAATACTTGTCTTCGCTATTAGCGAATACACACTCATTTGCAAACTAATTTGGTTCTTTCGAGAGACTCACCAGGAACCTAGCTGAATCTCTCGTTTGTGATGTTCTCAGGCAACTGAGTGTGCTGCACCAGGCCGCCTCATGTTTCAGTCACTACGATATTCGAGATATCGCAATACATGTATATCTTTGTAATGTGCTACTTATAAGGTTGCTGAAAATCAGTCGACAGCTCATCAGGTAGGCACAGTCCCCAGGTTTCCATCAACCTTATGTTCCACTTGAAACCAAATTGCACGAAATTAGCGAATGTACACTCATTTGCTAATGAAACTACACTTTCATCACACCTAGAATATTATTTGTTTTACCAATGGGACTAGAGTATACATTCAGGTGGTATCTTTATCTCCGTTGCTACAGGAGAACATGGAATCATTAACCAAGGTAACGTTGGGATTTCTGTTCAAAAAAGTTGCTTGGAAAAGCAATGAATATTAGCTTGCTTTGTTTCTGTATGCATCATCAATGTTATCGAAAACCTCTAAAGTGCATGGCCAAGAAGAAAAGTTGTTTTTGTTCAAGAGGGCTAGAAATGTGACCTGCATTTACTTGATGGATCATCAGTATTTATTACTTTTAGTGTCAATCGACTATTAAATATCTTAATCTACTCAGGGGCACCAGCCCAATCAGCAACAGCAAATTCACTAGGTAGCAACTGCATACCGGGGTTAGAATGACCGTGAAAGCCCAATCGGTTTTCAAAGCTACCGACGAATTTCTCTAAGAGAGAACAGCTTCAGGTGATACAAAGATGACATGTTGACTTTCGGAACTCTAGTTATTTTTGCGAGTTTCCCTCACTTGTATTTACTAACAAAACTGTCAACAATTAACTTTTCAAATCAACAGTGATGTAAGCCTTAGAAATGTCCGAGCTCAATTGCACATCAACCAAACACTCAAAACTAAAATATTATTTTCACCAACTGACAGTGTTCTTCTGCAGTCATATACGTTTCAAAACCATTCAGATTGTCCTGAACCAGCAAGGGGAAGTGGTAGAATAAATTAATAATAAACATCGTATTTGAAAAAACTCCAAATGTGATGACTAGCTGCTTGCGGGTGGTAGTACTCACTCTCCGCGTTAGTAGTGTATGCCCGTCCAAGGGGTGCATTAAAAAACACCTGGTAAAATGGATACCACATCCCGTCATCACAGTGCCTGCATCTGCTCGTATACGCGTCACTGAGGAACACTATCCCCTAACCCACTTCTGACCTACTTTCGCAGGTCAAGTTTATTTTTGACCGTGTATTATGAAGTATAAGTCTATTGAATACCTTCGCAAGATGCAGTCATTTAATAAATGCATCTTTTGTGACATTAGCTAGTCGCATAAGTAAAATAATACGATATTCGGAGGGTCCTACTTGACAAAGGAGTGATGATGACGGTAACATCAGCCCACTGACTAATCCATAACAAAGACAATGGATTCTACTGAAAATTTACTCTTTCAAATAAAATCAACCACCTTTGAACTCCTGGACATTCATTAAGCGGTTTTGGTAAATTTAGCTGTTTGTTATTTGTTAATTTCAACGAACGGATAAAGGAAATGTTTCATACGCCAAAAGTGTGTCGCCAATGTCTCGCAGCTGGATGTGAATTCATCAGCGCATGCATCAGCTGGTTTTATGAAAACTGCAGCAACAGAACGTCAAAATGGAACCGGCCCGTCTTTGAGTATGGGACTACGCCTTGAACAACAGCAAAAACTATGTTCACTTGTGTCAAAGAGAATAATCTGTAAGCATTGTGGCGGTCACCAGAAGATACCTCTCCGGAAGAAGCTAGTTCCTGAAGAAGTTACCAAGAGGCTTTCCGACAGCCATGATTTGATGTAAAATTCTACAGCGGATAGGGAATAAGTCCGAAAAGGAAGTAACAGGTGTTAGCTTCCAAAACAAAAATACCAAATACATAAATCAAGGGAGTCCTGGTGGTCTTGCTGGCTAAGCAAATAGAAATGGGGTTGGCTGGTCTAGGTGCCCCTTGCTGATATGCTCAAGTGTTGCCCCACCGCTATATGGAAAAAGATGAATACTCGATACCACTTAAATTAACATCATAAATCTATGTATGTCCATGTATACATGGACATCAGTCCTAAGCTCTGTGCCCTCTTCTACAGACGGTTGGTCATTCTGTTCGTCCATTATCAATTCCAGATGGCTCTGTAACAGCAGTTCCACGAAGTAAGTTAACAAGAACTTCCATCTTTAACATAGTTGTGCCTGCTTTTGTTAACAACCGCCGGGTGTTTTGGGTCTTCTATGCGGATAAGAACTCAAACCAAAAGTTAGTTCTCAGTTACACTTGAATCAGTTATCAATGTGTCGAAATATAGGTTGATCGACTACCAGTGATCCAGCAATAAAATAACTAACAAGTCATTGAGTCCTATAATTGCTTAGATCTGGACTATCATTGGTTTATTAAATTGTGCTACAGTTCCATATACAGGCACCGCCTCCCGCCCAAGGTCAATGTCAGTTTGAAGTTCGGTGTTAGGTCAAAAATTCCATGTGATTTGCAGCGTTATGCTACGACGACACATCCACTAGACTTCGCATTACATGAATATCGGGTTAGATATGCCATGCAATGTGATCTAATACTTTGCGCACTCTTCTCTTCCCCATATATGCTTCTGTTTCCCTCGTAACAATAAACACGCAGCCTAGATTGGGACGGTTTTACCCCAAAACCCCGGTGTCGAAGCAAAAGTTGAAATAGTGTGTCAGATGTAGGGATGGTGTAGGCCATAATCTTTGGCTGCAGGAGTTTCTTCAGTCTGCTTGAGTTTTTCCTTACAGCTAACCCACCGACACCTTTGAAGTGCTTTTTGAACGAGTTCAAGGAACAGCAGTCGGAAGTACAGCAAGACTTTGGGAAGGGAGAATGATGATACTTCGACAAATATTTCAATTGCTATGACCTTTTTATTCAT